TAAGATAAATAATCCGAATGCAATCGTAGTGCAAATTTATTTCACATAAAGAACATCGAGGAGGAGAGGAGAGATAAGAGATTGCCCGTAAGAGCAGGACTCTGGTGTATCTCTAAAGATAGAACTGAAAAAACGAAGTAGCAACAACCCAACGAAAACAATAAAAGTATAGAAGAGATTAGTGTGCACGTGTGCGCGTATACACGTACACACGCGATTATACACTAGAGAGCTGTTAGTGCAGATTTCTCAATGTGCATATTCTAGTCTTCTCTTTGGATGTTTTCATCTCTTTGCGAAAGAGGGAGAGGGGTCATCGCCTCTTGCTTCTCTCTGTAACATATGTGTTTTCGTGCCAGCAGCCTGAAAAGTAAACATTCAAATTTTTTCGTATGATGTCTGGACCTCCAAGGGCTTTTTCTCTGAGAAATTGCAACACCTGGCAAGCTCTACACCGACATTTTATTGGTTTTCAAAAGGTACAGCGAGTAAAATCATCAATAAAAGAAATCCTTCCATTGAATCTGATAACTACCGGGATGTGCTTGAGACGATTGCTGCTGTATACCCTGTACATCGTACCCAATAGGATGGATGACCGTGTCGTCTGAGGTGAAATATGCACTGGGGGCCCGCATAATTTAAATGTAAATAAAAATTTATTCGCATAAAAATAATTTCAAACTCGGCTGAATCGTCGCATGAGAGCACGCGCTTACACATAAACACACACACACCCATACACGCATTCTAGCATATATATATATCCACTATCATTTTTTTTATTTTTCCTTAGAGTATCAATATTTTTGAAATTTTGCTTTAACCATGTACAACGAATAACGAGATCATACAATAAAAATTAAGATTTACATTTGGCACATTGAAGTTTTAAATTAGGATTCATTACATTTTCACTGTTAGTGTTTTTGAATTTCAGTGGTAAAGTATTCTCTTTTACCCAAGTTTTCCGATATTTTCATGCAACTACCTATGCATTTGTAATTTTGTGTAAAATTAATAAGTGATTATTTAACTTATACTAATACCTGATACTTATAGCTGTTTAAATGAAGCATCCACACTAACACCCAACAGACACACGTTGGCACCCCTCCCCCCCCCTCCCTACAAAGCAAAGTAAAATTTCGTCATTTTCTCCCTTATGTTGGCTTAGCTTAGTTTTTGTCCAGACTCCCCACCACCTTCACAACCCCCCAATATAGAATTAAAAATTGAACATTAAATACTGATAAACTAATTTCCCCTCTTAATAGCACATGTTTTCAGTTTTGAATAAAGAGATATGAATAAAGAGATATAAAGAGAAGAACAATGAAGCTAAAACTAGCAGAAAAATTCCAGTAGCTGTACCTTCAAATAAAAAATTCTATTGAGGATACCCTTAAAACTAGACCAGGTACTTTCCACATTCAATAAAATAAAGGAGTACCTGACTTATTTTTTAAGGTCTCTTAAGTAGAATTCGTTATTTGGCGGTATCGCCGCGCTGTAATTTGTCTACAAGGAACCGGCTCTCTAATGACAAGCCATCGAAGTCATTAATTCCCAAAATGTAACACAATTTATGTGCTGTTAGCGCAATCAAGTTTCATTTAAAAAAAAAGTAATCAAATTTATTGTCATTACATATTCACAGTACGCCTAACGTTTTTCTTTTTTTTTTTTTTCATATATTTTATCATAATCAGGGCGGTCACTTGATGACCTGATTTTACCTATAGGTTCTTTATGTGTACAGAATAGTGCTTTGCGAATTCGAACAAAAATGTAATTATAATTTTCTACACCGTTGTCAATCTTATTTTCAGAGAAGACGATAAACAAAACAAAAAAGATCCAAGTGAGGTGCGCTAAATGTATTTTTAATCGCATCACCGTGAGCTGCAGCATTAAGATCAATATAGCCAAGTCAATGACCAATGCCACGCCAACTTGATAATGTGCAACTAATTATCCCATCATAGCTAACAGCAATAATCATCTGATTAAACTTTAACGAGAATCCAATTTAGCTATTAGAAACAAGCAGAGACTCTGACTGATTATTACGCAAGCTAACTCTATAGATTTCCTCATTGTAAGCTAATGAGGGTAACTATCAACAACCACTCCCATTTTTACTCGTGAAATTGAGCGCTTTTCCAGACTGTGAATCAATTTTTACTACTTCCAAACGATACGAAGTACAAAATCGTTACACACGTCGAAAAAATTTTTATTTTAAAATTGAAAAAAAATCTCGTACCGACGATTCGTTATCTTTCGTGTATAGTTGACCTATTGCCCGGGCTCAGAACGTGACGATTGTATCCCTCCTTGGTCGACGAATTCGAACAGCTGAATTTAAAAAATCGGTACCACGGGCTTATTAAATTAATAATAATTAATAAAATCTCTAATTTTGTTATCAATACTGTCTTTAACACAAATCAGATAAATGTAATGTTAAATAATGAAAAAAAAAAAAAAAAAAAAAAAAAAAAAACGCAGATTGATAAATAATCTCAATTATACGTCTAATGTTTTTGATTTTTAGACGCATTGCTGTGAATGAAAAAAAAAATTTTTAAATGATATTGTGAAGCAAGATGCTCAATATACCAATTTTCTTCTAATATAAATACTGCATGATGATGGTAACATGCGAGTTAACATGTACAGGAATGTGGAAGGTGCACATGTATCGTGTACTGTATATTTTCTACATTGCATAATGAATACGCTTACAGTTACCTACATGACGTGGCTATAGGGAACTTTTAATATACTTATTGCAATTGCGATAGTCAAGGGTGATAACGGAGATAACTGATATCACTTGGATGATAACGTTCTGTCCATGGCCTTGGTCCTAAAAGTACAGACGATATATTGTATACAGTGGTATACGCAACGTATTTAGAAATTATAATTTTATTTAAACGAAATATTGAGTGGTGGAGTTAAAATATTTGTATCATACCGAGATGGATATGATAAATTTTTTTTAGCTTATGCGATGTCAAGGATGTATTTCTATTTTTTTTTGTTGAAAAAATTTGTATTTCTCATTTTTGTTAGGCCAAAAGAAACACGGTCATATTTTTTCAGTACGTATAGATGAACGAAGTCAATTAGTAGACAAATTAGGCTCTTATTTGAAAATAAAAATGCAAATTACGAGCAATTGTAATCCTTAGCACTATTTTTCAAGATTACTATACTTGTGCTACATCAATAGTGATAGATATTCGAGCTTTTGGTGAGAAATCCTAACTATATCAAAGCAAATTGAAATTAAAAACTTGAGTTTGAATTAAATTACTCTAATTGATTTAATTTTAATCAAATGCAATCTAATTAGAAGTTAAACCTATAAATCGATAGTTAATTTTTAATCGTATTACTGTTAATCAAAAAATATATCAATAAAAATAAAATATTTTCAGAACTAATAAAAAAAGAAAATAATCAAAATATCAAAAGCAACAAAGAATCAGTTTCATATTACTTAAACTCAGGACCAACGTATGGTCATATGACGTAAACTCGCTCAACTTGATACTTTAATACAGATGAGCGTTCATCCAACGGTCAATATACTTACTGTATCCAGAAAATACTTAAAATTACAGGAAGTAAATGAATATCAAATGCGCAAGTAAGGCGAGCCTCTTATATCACGTGACGCTAACATTTTTATTTCATTTTAATGCTGTAAGTTATTGTGATACTTTGTTTTGAGGATATGTATTTGTCTTTGATATATGATTCTATGAGTAAATAAAAATAATAAAAAAACACAGAAAACTGAACGTGTAAATAAAATTTTTAAAAGGATGTGGTATTAATTTTCGATCTGTTGAAATGAATGAATTTTTCATTTTGCTGATACATAAAAGCAAATCGTAAATAAATGATTTAAATAGAACGCACGGAGATTCGAGATAATCGCAACGGTTACGCCTATAGAAAACATAAAATATACACTCATTACGAAAAGTGTCAAAGAAATACGGTACAGCATTCGAAGAAAATTTTTCCAGCTGAACGCGCGAATAAAAAGATCACGTTCCAACGTGACAAATGTGTTCCTCTTGCGGAGCTCTGCTATCGTATGTTATTTTTTTGTCTGAGAAATTACTCGTATCCATCGAATTTCCATACGCTACGTAGCATATTTAAAACCGTTCGCTGTTTTGCTGACAATTAATGGATCACAACTGTATATGATGTGCATCGATAGCTTAAGAAATGTATCAAGTAATACATTAAGAATATTATAATATATTCAACACATACAAAATTCAATTGTTAATAGAAGAAATTGTGTTATAGAAAAAGTAATTAAAGCTGCACGTATTAACTAGTATGTTTATGAAAAAAAAATTTTTTTTTCGAACGACGCAACCTTGCATGTACAAATAAAGATTCCAGTACATTTTTCTAAAAATGATGGAAGATGACAACTTCGAAATGATATGGGATAGGTACATGTTTTTCTACTCTCTGTAGATTTTCAGTCTTCGGAGATCGGCTTTAACCAACGCGCGTCAATTGACATTTACATCGCGCATTCCAAGATACACGACGCAGTATACTTTTACAATGAAAATTCGCAAATATGATCAAACTTTTTAGTACTCAATCAAAGTTGCTCATTTCTCTGTACGCGAATTCAGAAAAAGCGACACGTCAACGCTCGATAAAAAAGATACACATGTTTATTTTACCCAAAAACGCACTATTCCTTATCACTGTCAACCATTTATTCTAATTGATACGAAAACTGACGTCCTTCGTGCAAACCTCCTCCCCTTAAAAATCCTTTAAACGTAAACACACGATTATAATGAACCAGATATCATAACCTAAAAAAAACAAAAGAGACAACAAATCCTTTGCCTTTTTTATTTAAAAAAACAGCACAACATATCTTATAAAGTAATACTTGTGGTAAAAAAGAAGAAAATGTAAATAAAAGCAAAAGCACTTACGATGTACTCGCGTACGGTGTTGTGGAACATTTGCTCCCTGATGTCCGTCTCTGCATCTTCCATATTTTTCAATGCACTGCACGAAGGGCTCGACCTCTTCCTTTCCTCTTATCTATCTCTCGCAAACACATGCAAAAATGATGTCTCGATATTCTAAGCTTCTTTTTGTACAAAACACCAAATTAAAATTTCGCAAGGGGAAACGAACCCCCTGCTTTTTATGGCTATGTATCACCTGGGAAGCTGTGGCTCGCGCTTCATGTTCCTATTGTTATCATTCTGACGTTTACAAAGACTGCATCCACAGTAATTAACTACTCGTACGCTCCTTTTTGTTAGTTTATCTATTTGCTCGTGTGACAAGATGCGGGTAGTGCACCCACATGATATCAGCACAGTTTACACTTGTTTCGCATGCAGAAATAACAGCAGCAGGACGACTAAATTTGGGTTTTGAGAACATTTAATTCTCGTTGGTCTTCCGATACCAAGGCAAGTGGAGATTCACCAGCCTTTTACGTCGTTGTTGTAAGTATGTTATGTATATACGATCATACAGAATTTACTTCATTTATTCAAGTACTTAATTGGTGACTGATTTTCGTCATTTGTTTTGTCAATCTTTTTTTCTTTTTTTTTTTTTTTTTGATGATTGAGAGATGGGATCACAGGAGGAAAGAATTGTTTTTCTTTTTCCGGAATGTAAACACCACCACACTATGCACTTTTGTTTAATTCATTGTTATTTGCAACTTTTCTGCATTTGGAACACGCCAGCTTCACGGACGTGCTGTACGTACCGCACACCGAACACGACTGCGGAATTATGGACAGTTGCGGAGCTCGGTGCTCTCACGGGTAAATGGACGACCTGAAATCGCGTTCTCGTTTTCTCGCCATCTCTTTTTGTTTCCTTTACTTACTTCTCCTCTTCGTCGTGCCATCCTCTTTTTAAATGCCACACGTGCAATAGGTATATATATACAAACTGCAATGCTTTTTTTGTCCTCTTCGTTCGTTGCAGCATTAGATCATCTAATAGTAATGAAGGAATTTAATTTATTGGCGATCGGCTTTTTATTTTTTTATCAAAAATTGTGTTACACAACAAAATTCATTTGTTTCTAGCAGAATTTGTAGTAAATTACAAAACTTTACTAATGCAAGATGCGAAAAGTATTTGGTGTTTGTAATCAACGCTGATTTTTTTTTTTTTAAATTGAGATTTTTAGTTGATATTACTACTACTGTTGACTAACTTTTCAAAATCTTTTCAATCTTTGATTAGTGTTGTAAAATTGACAATTATTTTTCTATATTAAATAATCACAGCTTTGACTCCTACTTTTTCACGTTGAACTCTGGTTGACTGGATAATTTTTATTTTCAAATGTTGACTAAAATAAAAATCAAAAACTAATTTATTACAAAAAAATCTTAAATTTAGACTTGATATGGTAATTTAAAAGATGTTTTGAACGTAGTCAAAAAAATTCTCAAGTGTAAGCCAACGTTTCCAAACTTGCAACTAGATTGTGTATTATCGGCAAATTAGATAGTTTAAGACGATACAATTGATTGTTATTTAATTGAATGTGATTAATGTGTAAACAGGAAATTACAATATTGTAAGTACAGTTTTCATGAAAGTAAATTAAAATGCAATTCAATTCTTAAAATAGTGTGAATTTATTAGATTATTTAAAATATCACTATAAATACCATATTCATGTTTATAGGGGCACACGTAATGTGTTTGATTAATTGATTTTTTACATATCATATTTTTATTAATTACTTATTAAAAACTCTTCAAGTATACCTCCAATCATTTATTTTAAAAGTAACATTCTAAGAAGGTTTAGTTTGGAATCTTATTTTACAGTTAAATGCTTTATGTTATTGATAAAGAATTACATTTTTTTGCATAATGGCAGTCGATTGAATTCGTGCTTGAGACATGCATTTGACTGTGGCTTGCCTTTATTAGCGTCTACTTTAGAAACTATAAAGCTTAAACACCATCATCACTCAATTTTCCGTGATGACGTGGTTTAACTTGTTTCCAACTTGACTTAAATGAATGATCAGCCAAATAAGTGTCATAACTAGTAAGTAAAACATCCCACCAATAAAAAAGAAAAAAAATTAAACTCTCTTAAACAATATGTTAATGGATATTAAATATTCTTTCATAAACACAAGAATCAGTATAACACCATGTAAATTCATAATATAATACAATAAATAATGACAAGTACTAAGGGCTATGCTGTTCAAATTGACTTTATTTTAAAAAACGACGTTTCGACTACTCCAAGGCAGTCCTTATCAAGTCAAATATTAAACAATAATCGCAGAGTGTCGTCAATGTGAGATGTTTATTCTACTCAACTGCGATATAGTACAATATCATTGTACTATATCGCAGTTGAGTAGAATAAACATCTCACATTGACGACACTCTGCGATTATTGTTTAATATTTGACTTGATAAGGACTGCCTTGGAGTAGTCGAAACGTCGTTTTTTAAAATAAAGTCAATTTGAACAGCATAGCCCTTAGTACTTGTCATTATTTATTGTATTATTAGCTGTTCTTGGAATCAAACAATATCATAATATAATCTCATTTTATTTTGCTACACCATAATTTCATATGTTTATTCATATGTGTATGATCATTCAAAAATGCTTTTTAAAAAAAACTGCAACAAATATTTACTTGAAATTTTATTTGACTAATCACTATTTATCTGCATTCAGTAACTAAAAGCCTGACTGCTACAGATAAAGTTAAAAAATACACAAATTGGTATGTGTATCAAACATAAATCGTAATATTAATTTGTATAATTTAATAAATTTTAAGCATTAATTTTGTTCAATTTTATCACAACTTCATCAAGAAATAATACCTAATTAGAAAAAGCCATAATGTTTACTTTTCAAGCAATTATTGAGGCTCACCTCTCATTTCTGTTAAAGCATTTAAACACAAATCATAATAAAACATGAAAGTCCAGAGACGAGCCTATAAGCACATCAATTCATCCAATCACTTCACCAAATTTCCGGTGTCCAGTCTCCTTTGCGTGCTTCTGAGCTGCTTCGGAGCCACTGAGCTTGACATCGCAATCAATACACTTGAGCGTGAACCTATTTACGTCCGTAAATTGATGACTAGATTGCGCCTCCTGGGCGAGACTCAAGGCTTGGACATACACTGTCTCGTTGTCCGCGAGAAAAATTGACTGTATTTTACCACCCTAAAGAAATTTTTTGAACACTTAGATCATCCTATTTTAATTTGAATTAAAGTAAACAGTTTGGTGGGCACTTACATCAATGGACTCAAGGTACAAAGGGTCGTAGTGAATGCCATCAAAAATGAGAAAGACTCGCTGGCCGTAGTTTTTATCCTCACCATAACGTTGAATATTACCTGAGGTGCTGTTGCAGACTGCAATTTCTAATCCATAATGTTTTGACAGTATGGACAACTCGATAGCTCCACCCCAGCTACTTGGCTGTCTCAGCCAATCGCAATATTCTTTGTTTGGCTTGCCTAAAAAGCTTTCGTTGTATAACTCAGGATCGCTTTGCAACTCGTTGACGACGATTTCTCGCATATCTGGTGCACAGGATGGATCCACCTTGCCTAAATTTTAATAAATGTGTCTTGGATCATCCATTAGTTCACATAAACAGTATTTATAAGTAAAAAAATAATAGTACTGTTAGTTTAAGTAATAAGAACTTGAAATACCAAGCAATTACCACTAAACACAAATCCAATACTCGTGAACAGACATGAATTATCAGATGGTACGACCATTTTCATGAGAATACCAGGGCAGTCTTCATCAAAGTTAGCTGAATCAGTAATATGAGCTCTGGCAGTGTTATCTTCAACTTCGACTTCAGTTGTGGTATTTGTAACCTGTTTCTCTTCAACAATTAGAGTCTCTCCGGACAAGATGTTGCTATCCTGTAGCGTTGCACTGCTATTGCTCATATCAATAGCTTGGGGAGGGTAACCTCGCAGAACATGTATAAAATTACTCTGCACTCCGGTGAGCTCTGACAATTTGTGCTTTAGCTTGCTCAGAGTGTCCTGCGGAGTGAGGCTTTCGACGATTTTCTGTCCAGACTTAGTTTTCACTCTCAAGACAAAACCACCCATCTTCAAGTGAGCACAATTTAAAGTCAAAAGTCTACACAGTGGTAATAAAATATACTTGAAAATGTAATAAAAAAAATGATTTCTTTTTAAAATAGAACTCAAAACGTTGTTTACCTTTTTTTGAAAGACAAAGCCTAATCAAAAAACACACTGATACTGGCACAGAAAGTATTACAGGGTTCAATAAACGATAGGCTTTTGTTCTTTTCTTCTTTTGTGTGGTGAAACTGTGTGTCACTTATGGGCTCATTACCTAAATACGTAGTTCACGATAAAGGAATAAAAAATTTGTTTGAAAAATAATACAATAAACGGAAAATTATTGATGTAGTCCAGACTCCGGAGGATGCAATTAATGGGGGTAAAAATAACAAAAAATTTTGAGCTGAGCGATCAACTATGTAAATAGCCAAAGAATGTAGAATATTTCTTTAAATTCTCTGAATAATCTGTTGGTATACTTAACTTCACCAGCTTGAACGCAATGAACACGGATGGACCCATGATGTAAGTATATATAAGGTCATAAGGTGTGGCGTTGCGCATCCATTTTGATTGACCAATCAGAAACGCTTCCATCGCGCCGCCATGTCTGTCTGCGAATTTCAAAAGCTTTTAAAATATAAAGTCTGTTCACTTAATTTGAATTTGAGTTTAGCGGAACAGTGGAACCCCGTTTTCAAAATGAACGTTCACAATGAAATAAGCAAAAAATGTCTATGTGAATAGCTCCCAAGAAACTCGTGAAACAATGGAGCTATTTGGAGCTATTCACATAGACATTTTTTGCTTATTTCATTGTGAACGTTCATATAGAAAAGGGGGTTCCACTGTTCCGCTAAACTCAAATTGAGTCAACAGACTGAACAGACCTATGCTGTGTTCTCTGTCAGTTAACATAGTTGCGACCATAGCACCATAGGCTTTGTTGCCTGATGGAAAAAGAGGTATAGGTCTGTTCAGTCTGTTCACTCAATTTGAGTTTAGCGGAACAGTGGAACCCCCTTTTCAATATGAACGTTCACAATGAAATAAGCAAAAAATGTCTATGTGAATAGCTAAAATATATTTTTTATTTCAATATTTTCATTCCAGTTGTTTCAGTGACCAAACGCACTTAATTCGTGAATATTCACACAGAAAAACTGACTAAATAGGTAATCATTCATCAATTGACGTACATGTATATTCATACGTATGTCTATATCTGTATATATATATATACATATATATATATATATATCCCACTTCGAGGTTAATGCGGGGGATGGATTTGTTTCAACTTTGGCCACTACGTTTCATTGTACAGGCTCTTCGGCGCTGTAGTAGTCACAACTCCCTCAAGTATGGCGTCGTGATGAAAGGCGCAGATCGCCACGAAAATGAGACCTCGGAACGCCACACCTTAGGCTGCGTATACATGGAGTCCTGAACTTCCAGGACCAGCCATAAGCCCGTGTGAGGGCAAGTGAGAAGCAAGAACACATACTCTCTTTGTCGCACTTACAGGGGCATAGGGGCTGGTCCTAGAAGTTCAAGACCTCATGTATACGCACCCTTATATTTTACATCATGATGACATAATGTTTTTGTACACTTTACAGTATCTTAATTCGAAAACCGCGAAATTTGAATGTTCTGAGTGTTTCATAATAAATAAGAAGCATGAACACACAAAAATGGCGATAACTGTGTTCAGTAATTATTTGTATCACAGTTATTACTGTGTTATTTTGTTACCTTACAGTTGATCTGTTACTTGTGTTTTAATCTTATAANATGGTATTTGAAATAATTTAAAAAAAATATTAATACCAACATGCAAGGCGGGCTTTTCGTATTTCCAATCAAAACAACCACGCATCATTTTCCCGAACTTGCGGACGACCATCTGCCTCCATATAATCGCACCCTTATCCTCCGACTCCCCCGATCCGACTGATCTCGATAAATAAGTAATATTTCGGTAATTCCGTATATCCCAATCAGATTCGCTGACTTATTGTGGAACAAACAAAGGGGGGTGCTTTTTCATGGAATGATCGAATTCAAGAGAGCAGCGCGAATATGTCAATGTAAGGCTGCGATTACATGGACCAAAAAAATATCCTAAACTTGTCTTACTCGTGTCTTACGTCAAGTTTAGACATGAATTTGACAAGTTTAGGATATTCTTTTAGTCCATGTCGACGGCTCTTACGAAAAACAACGGAACTCAGATTTTCCCATTTAAAATAAGATTGGAATTTCTGAGTTCCGTTGTTTTTCGTAAGAACCGTCGATGTATAGGCACCCTAAGGCGCACCCCCCATTTGAATTTTCTTTTATTTTTTTACTCAAGTACTTTTACTTATGCAAAACCAAAGTGCATGATTTTTTTCCTCCTACTTGGGATTCCTACGATTACGTAAAAAGCACAACGGTATAACCACTATATATACATACATGTGTACCAACTTCTCTACTTATCATATACTAGTCGATTTTTACCATAATATAAAAATACTAATATAGTACAAAGTAGGAGCTAAAGGGAGTTAAAGTTAAATATATATTGATACAACAGCACTACTCTTAAAACTGTGATGGTATTAACAATCATGATTAAATATATTTTATTTCAATTTTTTTTTGTTTACGTAATTTTCAGTATGGTGTCAAGAAGATACAATTTTGCTACAATTATATCGACTTCTCTCAATGACTTATGTTTTGATAACTTTATAGACGCCTCTTCTTTCGTTGAATTTGATTTAGAGGGTTTATCTTGTAAATTATTTGGCTACCACCCAACCATCAATTATTGTACAAATTGTAATAGGTCAATGCCCGCTGAAGTTAGAAAATAAGTATATTATTGATGCCGATAAAGAAAAAAACTTATCACAAATATTATTATTTTTTTTAATGATAACGACACAGCGTATTTTTCAATGCATGTAATTCAGATCATATGTTATTTATCACAATAATATATATATATTATATAAGACACATTGATATGAATTTCCCGTCAATAGTCTATATAACTCTAGACATCTCAAGAAATTTAACACAATGTTAACTACGTGGTGTAAAGGATCATTATTAATATTAATGTATCAAAAAATAGCACAACTCGTTGTTCATTATACTAGTAAATAATATAAACTGAAGTAGTATTACTGGGCACTTTAACGCACTTTAATATCAATAAAAAGTTTTTGTAATCAAAAAAATTATTTTAATTATTCTTTTCTAATTCGGATTATATGATACTTGAAATAAAACAAAAGTTAGTTATTTTGTTACAGTATTGTGATTTAGAAAAATAGAAATAAATAAATATTTATTTAATGACATTTTAATTTATAGAAAATTTTTCAAACGTTACATTGATGTTCAAAATTTTTTTATAAAAAAATTTTGATTTTTACTAAGGTTAATTTAAAAGAATTACTTGATTTCTTCATTTAAAAAAAAAAAAATCGCTAACAATCTGTGTCAGTTATACTGTTGAATCACCCATCTATCTTCCTGGTTCATCCCTCGCTACAGTCCATGCGACGTTCTCTATAGTTTGGTATTTCGTCTGTCTTTCTCGCTCTCCTATGACAACATAACCTTTTGTAGTTTGTACCTCGGTTATTAATTAATTTCTTCTCTCTCCAGTACCCTCGATATGTTCAATTAAATTAAATACTATCATTAGATTTTTTTTTGTCATTAATAAAATTTTCACCTAAAGTCCATTGTTAATAAACGAGGTAAATGCGATAGAAGCGCTTAAAAAGACGACAGCCCATAAGCCTACATGTAAAAATTAGCTAAATATGAATATTAATTACTCGGCTCCTAAGAACCCTCGTGCCTTTAAACTTTGACAGTGTCATTTTTTTAACTTTATTCATTTGTAAACAAATTTTCATCAAATCCTCATTGTTAATTTATTTACCGATTGATAGAACTCCCTTAAATTTCAGAGGCATCATACATAACCCCCACTACCCCCCAAAATACCCCCACTGTCCCTCACAAATTAAGGAAAAAGTCGTCTTATTTATCTATTAATTAAATCCAATTAGTATTGGGTCAAGCCCCCTGCTGCCCATCACATGATTTTTCTTGCCCCCCCCCCCCTTATACAATTTTTTGAAAAGAAATTTTTAACTAAAGTTTATTGTAGATAGATTATAAATAATTATTTCATGATTTTGCAAAACAACAATACGGTTTGAGTAATTTGATTTGATTAGTTTTGTTAGAAAAGTAAATTATACCAATAATCATAAGAAAAACTGTTTCATTAAATTATAATAGGTATTAAAGTTTACGTAACATTAATAATTTTAATGCTCATCTAACAAAATTAAATTATTATATGATCGCTAAAAACACGTGTTGTGAAAATATCTTTAAATATAATTATCACATTATTTTTAATCATAAAATATATGGAAACATGTAGGATAAGTTGATGGGTTAAACAAGAGATAGGCGAGCTCCTTAAATCGGATATGGGTGATTCTGCCGTAAATTGCTCAGATCGACTTGAAAAATTTTTTAAAATGAAGATGGTTATAAAAATTTTTTTTCATGGTATTTTTACTGTACACAATATTAGTAATAAACATTTAAAGGGACGCAACTATAAAATTTGCTGGTCAAAAGTTAAACGAAATTTTATAAAAGTCAGCTTTCATCGATTTTCGAAAAACTGTATCACTTTCTAGCACGTGTAGCTAAGCTCCTTCAAACATTCAGTATTTTTCATAAAATCACTATAACTTTTCAATCGGGGCATAAAATTCAAAGATTTGTGTTTTCATTATTACGAATATGTTTTTGCTTTCATTTAAGCCCAGATAAAGCCACCTAATGGAGTGCACCACTTGGCTACCAAGTTGGAAACAGCACCACCGTTTTTGCATTTATGTATAGCGAAAAAGAGCCAATTAGACGAAACCCTGAGACGTATGTCTCATCTTTTAGCCCAATAGTGATGAAAAAAAAGTTTGTCTGGGATTGATTGCTCTAAAAGGAAAAGAAAACGGCACTTTGAGGTGAGGTAGGGTCAGAATGGAAAAGTTCGGAATGGAATTTTCAAAGTTTGTAATGCTCGTACGACTCATAGACGTATTACAATGACTTGTCCACCCATAATTTATTTACTAGCCTCAAATGCAATAAGAAACTGTAGTTTGCGTACATGCATACGTACACCGAGTGGTTGTTCCATGGGTGGTCGGAATGAAATGAAATATTTGTACGCGCGAAATACGCAAAAAGAAGAGATTGGCTATTCGAGAGGTAACAACTTCAGGTACTACTGTCGTAAGGATTTATTTATTTTAGACCTATACTTTGAAAAGTGATCATTGGTTAGCATTTCCAATCCAAAAAGTTACTAGTTTGAACTGATTTTTGTTAAAACCGCGATTATGCTGCAAATATGCGGACAAAATATATGCATTGAAAACTCACTCGTCTTCGTCGATTTTTGGTGTGACTAAGGTACAAATCTAATCACCAATAGCTAGAATATATAATGCTTACACACCCAAGTGGCAGATAAGCCTTATTGTTTACCGGTGAAAGCTTTCATGAGTGAAATTGAGTTGGGGACATGGGTTGGAATGGAAAATTTTACTCTAAATGATCGATTATCTCAATGAAGGGATCAATATATTGGTATAAGATAATATATCAAGTAAAGTCGACAACGTTTAACACAATTTGACGTTTTTAAAGTTTTGGATTTCATTACGGCGCGTGAGTATGAGTACCGGACACGATCTAAGCAAGTTACAGCTGAATCACCCATATGTAATACAAGAAATATGTCTAAGTTTATTATACTAGTTTTTGTCTTTTTAAGATTTGATAAGACTCTGTAGAATGACACTAAAATAAGCCATCTCTGTAGGCCGATATTTCTACGGTTTCTATTATTCTATAACTTAGTATAATTTAAATTTATATGTATATATTAGTACCATTTCATTTATTTGTTCGTATAAAACTTCAATTATAATTTTCTTTGAACTTAAAAAAAGGTTTGTCTATGGCATGAGCTGGTATCCTTCAATCTAACTCCTTATCGAAACGACAAGACATCAAATATTTAAATTACCATTAGAGTTAGACAATATTAAAAGTTCATCCTTGAAATTACAATTTAGAAAAATTGTAAAAAGTTGATTTAACTATTAGGAATGAAGCTTTTTAATCATCCTAAATAAAGCCTTAGAAATACTCATCATTGTGTTAATAAAGCAACAAAAAAAAACATTGATTATGTTGATGTTAACGTTTACATTCATTTTCCACTACAAATCTTAAATAGCGTTTGAAGAGTCTTCTACCTTAAGAATAACATTTACAAATTAGAGCAGTAGTGATGTTAGTATGTAAAGTAAATGAGTTATTTATTGTAAAAAAATTAAAAACAAGAGAACTATTAAATCATATTAATGAGGCAAAAACAATAACTGATGAAAAGTTAGAATAAAGTATACATTTCTCGTACAACTCCATTAACATGAGTTTGGTCATCTTTATTTTTTTCCTATTTCATACAATAAAGAAAACCTTAATTTCTAAGTTAACAATTTTATGGTTCCTTTAGATGTAAGAATCCAAACAACGTTTTTATTTAGCTAGAGTAAGAAAATTATTTTCGAATAAAAAATGTGGTAAAAAAAGAAAATTTTATTTCATTAATTTTTTCAACTTAAAAGTTTTTGTATTTAAAGGCCGTCAACCAGGCCGAGGGNGGTAAACATTGCCAATATTTTAACGCACCACTGTTAATTAGGAAAAAGTCGAACACTAAATGAACCTTTTTTTTTTACCATGGGCGGTCTTTGCGCTCTCGGGACTCACTTTGCGCCCTTAAATAACTTTTTTCTTTCGAAATAAAAAAATATGTAAGTACATAACGCCATTAGGTGCCAAAATTGGGCACAGAAGTCACACATTTTTCCTTATTGACAAAAACTACAATTATTGTCATTATATATTATACTTTATATTTATATTTTATTACATATTACATATACATGTTTAATAAAAAAAGTTTATGCATTGAAAGTAATTAAATTTATGTTGGATATAATATTAAAATTAATGTAAACTACTTGCGCTGCAAAAAAACTATTATTTATTTCGTTCAAAGTATTAAGTATTTTTATTGTAAAATGTACTAACACAAAAATTTATTTGCGATTACTTTCGGTTTAATTTGATTAAGTCTGTTAATGTAGACGCTGCCCTCACCAGAAGGGAATGAATTCTCGGAAAAAAAATACTGCGTTAGAATGGTAATGCGCTGTCTCGGAATTTTTTAATTTTGGCAATCTAATTCTTACTCAGTAACTATGACAGTAAAAATTATTGGAAGTACGTACGATTAAAATTGCTGTTATAATACATCTAAAAAAATCCATACGTGCTTACTTAAAATTTTTTTTCTTTCCATCCAAAAACGGTTTGTTGTAAAAAAATCTTGTAATTTATTGGTGTAAAGCTTTCTTTGTAAATGTTTTCTGAAAATCTTTTTTTTTTAATGATAAGTCAATTTGATATTTACGTAATAAGTATTTTTTGTCTATGCTCTATCACTTAATTTTATTTGTAAAAATGTGTGAAGTAATCGTAACATGACCCAATTGTTTTTGTTTAACGTTAAGATAAGAAAAAAAGCCATATTGGATCATATGAAGCTTCCATACGAGAAAATTTTTACTTCTATTCAAACACATTTCTTTACAGGGAATTTCGTGATCTGTCAAATTTTTGAATCTAAAAATCTGAAAACAACTATAGAGTGGGGAAGAATCAATATTAAAAAATTGTTAAAATCGAAATAAAAAAGAAAAAACAAAAAAATAAGCCTCAAATTTTTTTAGCTAAATTTTTAGAATTAAAAAAAATAGAATACCACATGACTCAAGCCTTTTATTTGTTGTTCGGTTCGTTGAGACAAAGTAGTAGGTTGAATGAAGATTGAAAAAATATACTATAGAAAATTTATTTTTTTCTATAAAGCGTAAAAAAATAATGTTCAATTAAAGCTCGACGGGTACTAATTGCAGAAATTTTAAAACGTCTCTGAACTACAAAATATGTTATTAAATACAAAAAATAACATAATTTTTAATATTCTTATGTATTTTTATTTACTTACATTTATTAGGATAAAAATTTTGTCACAAAAAAACGTATAATAAGTACAATTTCGTATGAATTTACGATTAGACAAAATAAGGTTCGATAAATAAATTTTTGAAGAAGAATTAAGCCAATCGATTAAAAACAGTTTTATAATTAATTACGGTGAAGAAATCAACAAAGTATGTGACGGCCAAAGTAAACGTACATACGTTTATCCAACTGTTTATATTTTCTTTCTCTCTTACTTCCAAGCTTGACATGAATTAAAGAAAGGCAAATGAGTATAATTATATGTTGAGGCATAACCATTTATCTTTATATTATATAATAATTAAAATACATGCGCTCACCTTGTCCTTCAAATTTAATTAATGAATTGACGTTGGTACAGTTAATAAACAAATTCACGTTCCGTAATATTACCTTAAATTATCTATTATCTCTCCATCAATATTCCAAGAATCATCAAGATATGAAACTCGTCGACGATACAGCGTAAAACATGTACTTTGCTGATCGATTTTATAAGTCTTGGGCATTATCGATCAGTCAAAGTCACACGCTCTGCCACATTACACGCTGTGTTCTCATCAATATGCTGTCGAACTATTTGTCATTCATTCTCTTTGCGTGTGCGGCTATTGGTAAGTTCTTCCGATAAAGTAATAGGCTCTAAAAGGAAAAGAAAACGGCACTTTGAGGTGAGGTAGGGTCAGAATGGAAAAGTTCGGAATGGAATTTTCAATGTTTGTAGTGCTCGTACGACTCATAGACGTATTACAATGACTCGTCCACCCATAATTTATTTACTAGCCTCAAATGCAATAAGAAACTGTAGTTTGCGTACATGCATACGTACACCGAGTGGTTGTTCCATGGGTGGTCGGAATGAAATGAAATATTTGTACGCGCGAAATACGCAAAAAGAAGAGATTGGCTATTCGAGAGGTAACAACTTCAGGTACTACTGTCGTAAGGATTTATTTATTTTAGACCTATACTTTGAAAAGTGATCATTGGTTAGCATTTCCAATCCAAAAAGTTACTAGTTTGAACTGATTTTTGTTAAAACCGCGATTATGCTGCAAATATGCGGACAAAATATATGCATTGAAAACTCACTCGTCTTCGTCGATTTTTGGTGTGACTAAGGTACAAATCTAATCACCAATAGCTAGAATATATAATGCTTACACACCCAAGTGGCAGATAAGCCTTATTGTTTACCGGTGAAAGCTTTCATGAGTGAAATTGAGTTGGGGACATGGGTTGGAATGGAAAATTTTACTCTAAATGATCGATTATCTCAATGAAGGGATCAATATATTGGTATAAGATAATATATCAAGTAAAGTCGACAACGTTTAACACAATTTGACGTTTTTAAAGTTTTGGATTTCATTACGGCGCGTGAGTATGAGTACCGGACACGATCTAAGCAAGTTACAGCTGAATCACCCATATGTAATACAAGAAATATGTCTAAGTTTATTATACTAGTTTTTGTCTTTTTAAGATTTGATAAGACTCTGTAGAATGACACTAAAATAAGCCATCTCTGTAGGCCGATATTTCTACGGTTTCTATTATTCTATAACTTAGTATAATTTAAATTTATATGTATATATTAGTACCATTTCATTTATTTGTTCGTATAAAACTTCAATTATAATTTTCTTTGAACTTAAAAAAAGGTTTGTCTATGGCATGAGCTGGTATCCTTCAATCTAACTCCTTATCGAAACGACAAGACATCAAATATTTAAATTACCATTAGAGTTAGACAATATTAAAAGTTCATCCTTGAAATTACAATTTAGAAAAATTGTAAAAAGTTGATTTAACTATTAGGAATGAAGCTTTTTAATCATCCTAAATAAAGCCTTAGAAATACTCATCATTGTGTTAATAAAGCAACAAAAAAAAACATTGATTATGTTGATGTTAACGTTTACATTCATTTTCCACTACAAATCTTAAATAGCGTTTGAAGAGTCTTCTACCTTAAGAATAACATTTACAAATTAGAGCAGTAGTGATGTTAGTATGTAAAGTAAATGAGTTATTTATTGTAAAAAAATTAAAAACAAGAGAACTATTAAATCATATTAATGAGGCAAAAACAATAACTGATGAAAAGTTAGAATAAAGTATACATTTCTCGTACAACTCCATTAACATGAGTTTGGTCATCTTTATTTTTTTCCTATTTCATACAATAAAGAAAACCTTAATTTCTAAGTTAACAATTTTATGGTTCCTTTAGATGTAAGAATCCAAACAACGTTTTTATTTAGCTAGAGTAAGAAAATTATTTTCGAATAAAAAATGTGGTAAAAAAAGAAAATTTTATTTCATTAATTTTTTCAACTTAAAAGTTTTTGTATTTAAAGGCCGTCAACCAGGCCGAGGG